CCCATCATTTTTTCCCCATAGGTGCTCCAGCCCTGGAGCACCCCCAGAGTTGGCACCTATGAACCCAAAGCTCCTTCACAGCCCTCCCCCAAACTCCAGCTGCCCTGCTGTCACTGCTAGCCCTGGGCCATCAGCAGAGCGGGGCTGGCTTTGGCCTGTCCATCCACGAACTCTGCAGCTGCTTGGGCCCTTCTGGGACGCCTCTGACCCTGAGGAGCCCCAGGAGGGTGGAAGAGCAGAGCTGACAGCTGATATGGGGCCAGATTCCAGGCGGGTGCAATTGGGCACAACTCCACTGGTGGCACTGGGATTGCAGCCGCTCTGAATTTCACCCCTATATTGTGCACAGTGATCGTGAGCCAGGCAGCAGCAACAAAGCGGTGCCCAGCCCCGAGCCAGGGCCACGGGGTGACTATTAATGTGTGGAGGAGTACGGCCAAGTTCCCGTAGTAGTTTGATGTAAGTCTGATGTCATCATCCTGGTGTCCCCCCCACAGCTCGGCCGATGCCCCTCAGTCCTGCCCCCAGCCTCCTGCTATCCCACAGAGCCGTGTTTGCTGAGCAGACACAGACATTCGGGGCACTTTGTACTGTGACTCTGCTGTGGGCAAATGGCCAAAGGGGACATTGACTTTCTATAGACTCATAGGCTTTAAGGTCAGAAGGGACCAGCATGAGCATCTAGTCTGACCTTCTGCACATTGCAGGCCACAGACCCTCCCCCTCCCCTCCCCCCCCCACCGCTCCTGGAACAAACCCCTAACCTCTCGCTGAGTTACTGACGTCCTCACATCACCCAGAGAATCCACCGTTTACACTAGTTACACCTACAAGTGACCCGTGCCCCATGCTGCAGAAGAAGGTGAGAAATCCTCAGCGTCTCTGCCAATCTGACCGGGGGGGAAATTCCTTCCCAACTCCAAATGTGGTGATCAGTTAGACCCTGAGCATGTGGGCAAGACCCACCAGCCAGACACCTGGGAAAGAATTCTCTGTAGTAACTCAGAGCCCTCCCTACCTAGCGTCCCATCACCGGCCATTGGAGATAATTGCTGCCAGCAGTCGCAGATCGGCTACGCACCATTGTAGCCAGTCCCATCATACCACCCCCTCCATAAACTTACCAAGCTCAGTGTTGAAGCCAGTGACTTTACAGATTCATTAAAAATCCTTGCTATTGGGCCTGCAATTTCATGTGCCAGGTCCTTTAATATTCTTGGATGGAGATTATGCGGGTCCCCAATTTAGTCCCAGTATTTGTTTAGGAGTTGTGCCATGCCTAGATTATCTTTCATCTCCACCCCATATCTGCAGAGGCCTCTGCTGCTTGATCTTGTAATGTGATTAACTCCATTCATTCATTGGGCAAAGACACATCCACACACTCTTCAGGAATATCACTGCCGGTGCTCCTCCATCTCTCATGGCCCCGGTGCAGGGATACAGGAGGGCTCAGCTCTGCAGGAGTCTGTGGAACAGGGCCTGAGGGGCCTGATTCATGGGGGAGCCTGAATGTGACCCTGAAAAAGGATCATGTTGTGGGTGTGATGAGGGGTCTTTACCCTTTCCTGGCTGTAGGCACCAGGCAAGGGGTGAGGCCAGCCTGGGCTCATTCATAACCCACCACCAAACCCCACCTCATCACCCAACCCCCAAACAGTCATTGACCCTGACTCCATTGCTCCATCCCACCCTGTCATCCATCACCCAACCCCTGACCCATCACTGACCCTGAGCCCATCACCCAACCCCACCTTCTCACCCATCCCCACTCCTCCGTCACCAAACACCACCCCATCACTGAACCCGACCCCCGGACCTTTCACCCAACCAGTCACCCTAATCAAACTCCACCCGTCCTCTGTCACCTGCCCCAACCCCATCTCCTGTCACTGAAATTTAACTTCTCATCCCATGGTTCCTGACATGGTGGGTGCCCTGGCACTGTCCAAACATACTCCCTGGAGCCAGAGAAAGAACTGAGGTGGGTTAGCCCATGCACGGAGGTTATCCTCATGGCACCACATGAGGGGAGACAG